CCCATCCATTCACCCTCCCCCCACCCCCACCCCCAGATCCCGTGGAATTCGAGTAAGGTTTGAATCCCGTTAGCTGCGTCCAACCAGGCAAGGGCGAAGTTTAGGGGCGCACAGGAGCCGTACCCCAAAGGTGGGAAGAGCCGCCACCGCCGGACTTACCCGCCTCCAGTTCCTGCGGGGACTCGGCTGGGCCGCAGAGGGGCTGAGAGTGCGCCGCGGATTGCTGGCAGGGCAGGTAGGAGTCTCCGGGGGTCGCCGGCCCGGTGTACGGGTAGGGTAGGAGGTGGCCATGCGGTCCGGAGTAGGACAAATCGGGGGAGGTTGCGGTTGCGGGGGACAGGCCAAGCGGGTAGGTGGCCACTACCGACGGGACGGGGGCGAGGTCCGGGAAGACAGCTTTAGAGCCTTCCCGGCCAGGGAGGGAACAGGGCAAAGAGGTCATGGTGGCCGGGTCCGAAGGACCTAGGCCATGTCCCGGCACGTTGTCTGCTCCCTCCGCCAACACTCTTTTCCGAGCCTCGGGCGTTGGCAGGATGAACCCCCCAGCCAGCCGCCCCCACACTTAGGATCCCGGGGAAAGTGTCTCTCTGTGCCTCTTCCAGTGGAGACAGCGCGCCCGGTAAAGGGGTTCTGGAGGGGTGCCCCCCATGGTTTTTCCCCTCCCCCCTAAATCCGTGGGGCCCCCCTCTTCTCCCTCGGGTTCCGTTCCTGGGACCCGACGGGGACCCCGCCCACTCGGGCGCCCGGGATTGGCTACCCCACGCGGTGACCTCACGGAGGTCTGGAGCTGGGACCGCCCCCCCGGGGCCGCCCGCAGTAGAGACCTGGGCGATGGGAGGGGGGTGGTGCGCACTTTCCAAGCCCGTCAATCTCGGGGTCTTCTCCGAGAGAGGTGCCGGGGTTGCGGAGCGACTGGTATAATCTGGGAACCCCGGTAATAATGCAGCAATGCTAGGGAGTTGGCCGGCCTGGCTTGTCCAAGGGGCGAGGAGAGCTGCGCAGTGGGCGGAGGCACTGCGGCTGCGGGGACGCAGGGAACCTACTTTCGCGCTCTCCAGTTCTCGGGGGTCTACACCTGGGTTCTGGCCCCGCCGCCCCGAACCTGCAGGGGAGTCGCGAGAGCAGACCGCCCGCGCTGGCGGCTTATTCAGCGCGTCGGAATGCGCCGCTGCTGAGCACCGGCAGTTTGTTGGTAAACAGACGCCCGGGCTGGGAGGGTGCCGCCCGGAGCCCAGCCTGCCCCGCACGCGTGCGGCGCGCACGCCCCCGCTGGGTGCCCTCGTCCTGGCACGCCGCGACCGCCGCGACTGCGCCTCACCGCCCCCCGTGCCGGCTTCCGCTTCCGGCCGGGGCCCCCGTTTGGTTGCGACACCGCCGCCCCCACCGGCCCCCCCGGCGGC